AGATTTGGAAAGTGTAGTTGTGCCCAATATCTCTAAAATGTACTATATCGTTGTTTTCTGAGTCTGGGGAGGCAGGGACTTCACACCGAACGTGATTCTAAGTCACATTTTTGCTGCCACCCCAGTTGGTAACGCAGTTCACGGGTAGGTGTTTCCTACCCTGTCATCTTTTTGAAGTTATCACCGCTAGCGCTAGCCCCGGCTTGGGGTTCTATCGAGTCGAGCAGCGGTTTTGCGAACGCATTCGAGTTTGCGAAACCTGTTCTATTCCCGTCGGCCTTTGCGCTACCCTGAACGCCAATGTAACAGCTGAGTAATGAGTGTGCTTTTTATTGTATGATTCAGCGGACCAAGTACCCAGCAGTATGTATTATATATGTATGGTTCATTGTACGGAGAATTCTAGGGAAATTTTTCAACGGACCGTGTTCACGGTGTTAATGTTGTGATGAGTGTATGATTCTCGGGAATCTTTCGACGGACAGTGTTCACGGTGTTATGTGTTGAGTTCATGACTCTTCGGATCCTTTCAACGGACCGTGTTCATAGTGTTTGTGTTCAGTGTATGATTATCGGGAATCTTAAGCTTGTACGGAGTGCACAGTATACGAGTGTTCATAAAACAAAGCAACAGCGATCTCAACAAAAACTCGGTGGCCTATCGCCCATGGACTGACGAGAAAGTCGATTGGATATCAGAACTAGTTTCTCCTGGCAGTGATTGGTGCAACCATTGCTTCCTTCATCGTATACAAACAACTTCTGAAGCTGTACAAGAACTTCCCTGCCTGCTGCCAAAAGAGGTGGCTCAAATTGAAAAGGAAAAAAAATCCAGTGATTGGTTCTATTGGTAGATAAAGATTAGGTCTGTTGTGTCACCTCTGAATACGGAGGGTTTTCTTTTGTATATAAAGATTGTAATAGGGCCCATGTTGTTAAACCTGTTTCAACTGAGTTTTGGAGTTTCCTAGTTGAGACACCTGGATGTGATTTTAAAAGATATAATTTTAATTCATTATTCTATAAAATAACTGATTGTAGATTTTAGGTCATTGTTGTTATTGACTAATCATTATCATTATTAGTAGATCATTATTAGTACTTAGTATCCTTAGGTATCCTAAAATAATTGAAGCAATCTAACAATTGTTCAGAGCAATGAATTTGCTTTATTTATTACAGTAGCAGGAATTTGTTACATTGATGTGTATGCACTGTGTATGCACTGTGATCAACTGCATTTAATATGATATCGTTTCTAAAAGATAGCTTTAAGCCAGCAGGCAGAGATGAAATGTCTATATGTATATGTTGCTTAATACTTGGCTTACACCTAGAGTACTACTAATACGTTTGTTTGTTGGTCATATTGAGTATATTTGGCGAGGTGTCTTTTCCACTACATTACCCAGTTCGAATATTAAACAACCTGTTAATATGTACAGTCGGTTCTGATTCATCATATATACTTCATACTGTACATACCGAGAAAAGACTTCTCTTTGGTGCGATAAGCTTTCAATTGCTTAAGAGATTCCAAGACTAGCTATTAGACACGATAGATGTATGTATAATAAACAGGAATCCCCACTACCTTTGTTTGTTGTTTGTTGTGTGGTGGCCTTTTTGTCTCTTACTTTCCTAGCAGCATCTACAGTTTGGTAGACTTAACATAGAATTGTGCTTGAATCTTTGTTTACAGAGTCACTAGTCACTGTTCCTTTACATAATATCTTCCACTAATTCAATTTTACAGAGATAGTTGTCATTCATTTACATATCGTCCACAAATTCTACAATATCTCTTTAAATATGTACCACCTGAAGCGTACCTAATCCACTCATGCTATGTAGCTTCACTATATCGTCATGTTCATCTGTGTACATGTTGGCAGTTACATGTTTAAAGTTAAAACTTTAGATCCAACACAAAAAGTTCTCTCACCTAGAACTTTCGACCAGTCACTCTGGTCTTCCTCAGTAGACTGACCCAGTGTTGACGTCACACTTCAAAGAAGCCACGTGACAAGCCACACTGGGTCAGTCTACTGAGGAAGACCAGAGTGACTGGTCGAAAAGCTCTAAGTGAGAGAATTTTTTTGTGTTGGATCTAAAGTTTTAACTTTAATCATAACTTTAACTATAATTCATACTTACATGATGCAGCAAGATTAAACTGCAATTTCCAACACAAGAAATATTGGGACCCAATATTTCGACTGTACAACTCCAGTCTTTGTCAAGGAATGAACAATTTGGGTGAGTCCAATTTCTTGTGCTGAAATTACAGTTTAACCTTGCTGCATAATGACTTCTACCAAACACAGATGAACTTTCAAGATCATATTTACATGATTATATGTCAGCATCCAGAGGGCAGATGGGGAGGTGTGCAGTGAAGATGTTCAGCTCGTACACTATGGCCAGGGTGAGCACGAACACGTAGGCGCACAGGCACGTCACGCCGAGAGACTTGGTCAGCTTCCAGCCGTTCAGATGCACGTCAACAACCAGGAAGAACACGGTGCTGATGAGGGTGATGGTGGAGTAGATGATGCTCTCGCCATAGATGTGCACCGCGAACCTAATAGTGTTTAGGAAAGGAGGGAGTCAGCAGCAGTAAACCTCTTCGAAGCTACGCTGGACCCTCTTTACGACCTTGTTCCCCCTGAAGGTGCAAATGCTACAGGGAGACAGCTCAGGAACAGTATCATCTTGCCCAGAGCTACACTCAACGTCTGAAAAGGTATTTTGCCACTGTACTGTACGACTCTATAGTGATCATAGGTGATTATGGCAACCCACGGCTGTCCTGTTTTAGTTTGGATGTTGACTGTACATAATGTGTTTATTTAAATTGCCTTGATTTTTAATCAACCCTTTGTAAAAATCGGAGGACAATTCAGGGGTGCGTTAGCCAATCCCTGCTTATGATGTGTCGAATTGAAAAATTTAATAAAGTTATTGATTGACGTTAAAGTTACTTTAATGACTTTCATTGTATTATTATTATTTTACCATTATTGGATGGAAAATATTAATAATACAACTTTTTTTCAAAGTAGTTAGAAGTGAATCTAAATAGTAGTTATAATGATTGTAATTGACAATGTATGTAAGAGGACTTCAGGAAGAGTAGTGGTTGTATTGTCACTAATATTGGATGTTCCTTAAACAAACAAACAAACAAACAAACAAACAAACGAACCCGCCGGCCGACTTGAAGAGCCAGGGCAGCCCCAGGCACACCAGGATGTCGAAGATGTTGCTGCCGAGAGAGTTGGACACCGCCATGTCACCGAGACCTGGAACAAGGAAATCTGAATCTTCAGACCCCAGGAAAGTGTTTTGGATGACATTAGATCGAATTACGGGCACTCCATGGCATCAGTCAGTGAAACTTCACTGAGAGTTTTCAAAATCTATCCAGTTGCTTGAATAACTATTTCCTGCGCATCTCAATACCTGCAGGCGCTTTGCAGCACCTTAACCTACAATCACTTGCTACTCGCAGACGTGACTTGTGCTACAACTTCGCCATCAAAGCCAGACAGTCGCCGCGGTTCTGCTCCTGGCTACCACAGACCCGAGGCCAGCAGCACGGTAGACACTTACGGAACTCTTCACATTACCATCAAGCCAGCGGAACTAAGCGATACGTTACTAGCGCAAAACCCTCGCTGGCAAAACTCCTTGTTAGTGTGTAAATGGAATATTATGATTATATCCTTGTCGAACCCTTCCTGTCGGCGTCGACAATAGCTCGAACGATGTTGCACTGTACTGCTAGTTCATTGTCTATTTTAACCTGTATATATTTTAATCTGTCGGAATTTCCTTTTAAAATGTTTGTAATGGAACGGTGCAATTCAGTTACTACTGCAAGGCCGTTTTTATTGTGAATAATAATAAACCAATGATGATGATGATGATGATGATGTCTAACCTTCATCGACGGATCCATGACATAAATTCGTTGGTGAAGGTTGGGGGTGTTTGCCTCAGCGTTCTGGCCACAGTGGCGACAGTGGTTTTTATCTACTTTAGTCATTTTATCATAAATGACATCGTAACATATTTGAAGAAACTTCTTCAGCATGAAGGATCTCTCCCAGGATATTCTATTTTCGGAATAGAACCTCCATTTGGCTCTGGCGATCCATAGCTTTCTACGTAACATTTCTTATAGCAAACAAAAACATAAAAATTCGAATCATGCAGTCAAACGTGTATTGGAACGAGTACATGCAATACAGTAATACCCTATGTGCTTATGTAAGTACTTATCCCAGGTATCAGATCTGCTGACCTGATGAGGAGACGAGAACACTTGACAGCGCGTCCGGGATGCTGGTGCCGATCGCCAGGACGGTCAGGCCCATGATCTCGTCAGGAATGCCGATGGTGAATCCTAGCGGAACAAAGATGGTAGAAATATACAACTTTTCTAATAGAGAAATAATGCAAAATCTAAATGACAAACTCCACTTCATCATATAAGACGTTTCTGACGATTTTAGCTTATATTCAAGCAACATTTCCAAAAACCTGTAGGGACAAATAAAGTGTTTCAGAGCAGAAGACACAAGCTCTATTGTTTCATTTTAGGCCTGAAAGACATTTGATAACTCTCTGAGGAGTAGTTAGTATATAATTCAAAGTAGCACGGACATATGTTAGGACTTTCGGTTATGTATTTAGCTAAACATTGAAACATTTACATTTGGTTCTGGATACGCATGGACTATCCAAAATGGTCTGGATCACAGTTCTGGACAAAGTACGTACATAACACATACATTTGTTGCCCTTTACGTTAAAGACCTACCGATGATTGTTGACATGCAGACCAACATGTCTGCTGCCGTCGCTGTCCCTGTCGTCATGACATGACATGAAGAACGCCAGGAGGTATAAATGATATCTGTTTACAACATACAAAAACGACCTACCGATGATTGTAGACATCCAGACCAACACGTAATAGAAGACGGCGATCCACAGTGTTGTCATGAAGAAGGTGAGCAGGTACCGATGTTTGGTGCCGTCGCTGTGGCAGTCCGGAATGGTCACGTACAGGACATCGCAGCCACATGCTGAACTGCATACTTTTTACAGATGATACACATACCATAGGAAAAAGACTTACCTATGATTGTAGACGTCCAGACCAACACGTATGAGAAGACGGCGATTCAGTGTTATCATGAAGAACGTCAGGAGGTATAAAAACATATCTCGGAGCCACAGAAAAATTAAATACTTGTTTTTACAGATAATAAGACTGTTTTCAACATACAAAAACGACCTACCAATGATTGTAGACATCCAGACCAACACGTAAGAGAAGACGGCGATCCACAGTGTTGTCATGAAGAAGGTGAGGAGGTAGCGATGTTTGGTGCCTTCCGTGTGGCATTCCAGCCATATGCTGAACTGCATACTTTTTACAGATAATACAAATAACATATAAAAACAACCTACCGATGATTGTAGACATCCAGACCAACACGTAAGAGAAGACGGCGATCCACAGTGTGGTCATGAAGAACGTCAGGAGGTATCGATGTTTGGTGCCTTCACCGTGGCAGTCGGGAATCGTCACGTACAGGACGGCGTGGATCGGAAAGTTCAGGAAGAACGCGATCTTCCGCTTCCCCTCAGGGACCGTCAGCAGGGATCTCTTCGGTGGCCCCTCGCCTGCGGCCCGAGGGGCGTCAGGAGGGGGGACCGGTGGCTTCTCGGGCTCGGCAGGTGGGGCTTTCTCGGGGTCTTTCTTTTCCACTGAAAAAAAACCAACGTTAAAGCTAGAACCTGACGAGACAACTGATAGTGTGTTTGCCTATCAACATGTGATAGCACCTGCACTGTACATAATGTTTTAAGCCTAAACGCTAGAAAGTCCTTTAATACTTGTAAAAAGCACATACTGATCCCATTTTACATACTTTTCTGGTGCCGTCTTATGGTACCATCCATGTGAGAACATAGCCCAGAGCCGAAAGCAAATATTCTGTTAACTTCATTTTCTTCCCAGATCCTCCTACCGTTGCCACCATCTCTGTTGCCGTCTGTTTCGGCCGGAGTTTCTCCCTCGTTCTCCCGTGTCTGGTAGCTGTCCGGGTTGGTGTTGGCGCTGTGTTTGGCGGCCATTAGAACGTACAACGTGACCGGCACAGTCTGCTAAGGAGACCGAACGGCTACCCACCGTTACCGCCATCTTTGCTGCCGCTGCCGTCTGGTTCTCGGTACTTGGTTTCTTGTCTTTCTTTACGAAGGCGGCCAACCAATAGCTTATGCCATTAGAAACAAAACACGTCAGAATCAACCCCCCAAATTAAGCCCGATTGGTAGAGTCTGCTAAGGAGACTAGACTATAAGAGGTTACCCACCGTTGCCTGATCTCTGTTTCGACCGGAGTTTCCCCCTCGTTCTCCAGGGTCTGGTAGCTGTCCGGGTTGGTGTTGGCGCTGTGTTTGACGGCCGTTAGAAGGTACAAAGTGACCGGGACAGTCTGCTAAGGGGAATAAACTACAAGAGATTACCTACCGTTGCCTGTATCTTTGTTGCCGTCTGTCTCCTCCAGAGTTTCGCCCTCGTTCTCCAGGGTCTGGTAGCTGTCGGGGTTGGTGTTGGCGCTGTGTTTGGCGGCCGTTAGAAGGTACAAAGTGACCGGGACAGTCTGCTAAACTATAAGGCTCTATAAGAGGTTACCTACCATTAGCGGCATCTTTGTTAATATTGCCATCTGTTTCAGCCGGAGTTTCCCCCTCGTTCTCCAGTGTCTGGTAGCTGTCCGGGTTGGTGTTGGCGCTGTGTTTGATCGCGAGCAGAGCGGAGGACTCCCGGCTCATGTGCCAGCCTTTCACCTGGTATTATCACACAGAGTTACAATGATATGCATAAAAGTGATTAAAAAAAGTGATCTCGAACCAGTTTAGCTCATTGAAGAGCTAATCTTCCACTGGTCTTGGCAGAGAAGACAGATGCTATGTACAGTATTTACAGCTTCATTGTACCGGGGACATTCCCCTAACTCTTTTTGACAATTAAGCACAATGAACAGTGGACCACGGCTTAACGTCCCGTCCTAAGGACTGCGACCCTAAACAGTAGCGTGCATGTTGGGTGAGCGACATCAGCCGGGATTCGAACTCCCAACCTCTTAGTCCAGAGGCATGTTCTTGCCCAGATGGGCTAAATGCACAAATGTGACCAAGTGTGGTCGATAGAGTAAAAAACATGAGTATTGCATACTGGAACTCTATATTCTAATGCTAAGTGCTAGAAGTCTATATATTACCTTGTCGGTTGCCCACTTGCTGATCCTGGGGTCCAGGTACATGATGAAGATGTACAGGCAGTAGATGCCGAGAAGAACCATCGCCTCGTACCTGATATGGGGAATAAAAGATCTGACAAGTAAGGAAAATGAAGCCACCAGTTTACAACTATTGTATCTAAGATACAAACTATCTTCAATGCATTGGTCCTTCTGTACACCAGTCCATGTTACGGTTGTCATGCGATTGCAAACTGAATGCAATCTTGGGATTGTCGTGAATGTGTCGTACAAAACTCAACCATGAAAAAAAGCTATATTTCTTGATGGATTCTTGTGGTTCTGTCATGCCCGTTCTACTACAATCTAGGACAAATGTGTCCGCGCCGTAATGAGACATAAAACGTTTAACTCACGAGTAGACCTTCTCGTCGTAAATGATGAGCACCAGGGTGACGACGCTGATCAGGTAGAAGAAGGAGTCACGAAACAGCGGCCACCAGGACAGACTCAGCAACTAAAGGAAATCAGTCGAAGAAAATTTATCAATTTTTTATTAGCCATTTTATATCCATTCCTTGATACGTCGCTGAAAGTTAGACATCCAGGTAATAGGCTACGCCAAAAGAGTTACTCAAGCAACTGGATATGATTTTGGAAACGGTCAAACGTTTCAGGTTGAAGCCACTACCTTTCGGCATAACTGTTTTTTTTTTGCGTACCCATTCCTTGATTTTTAAATTTGGTTCTTGGTCCGTTCGTTTAATGATTTCATGTTCCAATATCATTACACAGCTGCAAAACCTGCACTCTATAATTATAAGAGTATCTAGGACCTAGGGTGAAGCGTGCCGACTCTAAATAAAGGGGTCAGCGGTATTATGCGGTCCAAGGAAAAAACAACCTTAGTTATTTTGTAATTGTGCACATAATGATCTCTAACTAGTACACCCAGCGACTTACCGTTGAACTGCAGAGCGCCGTAAGCCCGGTGATGACGAGCACGTTAAAGATGGCGGAGCCCACTACTGTTTCCACACCGACGTCATTCTTAGTCACGAACACCCCTGCACACAGCATGGGGGAAACGGGAGAACCAGATTAGCAAAAATAAACACAGCATGGGGGAACCGGGAGAACCAGATTAGCAAAAAGACACATCCATCCGCCAAATATTTGCATCGTAAGCTTTGTTTTTATTATGTGCATGTCAGAAACGAAAGAATTAGATTAGCACAACGACACAATCTTTCTAATCGAATATAGTAGCGTGCTCATCACAGTGCTGTATTGCATTGTATTCTTATCATTATTGTCAGTCAAAACTACTTTCCAATCTTCACAACTGACGTCTGAAGTAAATTGTATTTTGGATCCAGTCCAGATAAAATCTCGTTCAACCTGCAAACCTTGAGGAGCATCGTAAGATTTATGGGATAATTAGATGACACAATGACATAATCTTTCTAATCTTCTAAAATGACGTGCTCATCACAATGCTGTATTATATTCTTATCCATATCGTCAGTCAGGTGCAATACATTGAGATACAATCTTCCCAATCTGAAAATAATTGAGAAGCGTCGTGAGCTTTGTCTCCACCTAAACATGACGCAATGTTGGATTAGACACGGTACAGGTGCTGTTATCTCAGCTATACAGGCAGAGCTGTACATAATAAATCCAACAATAACTACAAATGCATATCTAAAGTAGCATTAGCATTACTTACTATCATTTTTACTGTTTACTGTTGTTATCATGTTCTTGCAATTAGCCCTCGGGCATGAATTTGCAATAAACTGTCATAATCTGAGACGTAGTTAAAACAAAGCAACTTCTGTATAATGTCGATCTATCAATGTATCAAAGAATTTTGTACAACTTTAGTATTCAGTCCTGTTAACACGTTTATAGACATATCGTCGAATAGTTCTGACAATGTTTTGGCATTGACATGCTTTTCAGATCTTGCATCGTCAAAATACATAGATGGCGTAGATGACTTTTAAACAGTCAACTTCGCACAACTCCAAACCAAAGATTACCTGGCTGACGACTTACTACCAACAAAGGTCTGGATAAGGTCGGGAAGCAATTCAATGGTCGACTCTGTGTGAAAGGGGTTTAACTCTCGAAAGGGGCTCTTAAAACTCCCAACCATGGTCTGGAGAAGATTTGGAGGCTATTTGGTCAGCTATGTGTGTGATATGGGCTTGAAAAACGACCACTGTGTCTTACCCAACATGGCCACGAACAGTTCAGGTGCGGAGCTGCCCACTGCCATGAACGTCGCCCCGGCCACGTTGTGTGACAGGCCCAGTCCTGTGGTTGCAGACCAAACATCGTGATGTTGCAACAAACAATATATCAAGTATGCATGGGGAAAAGACACGGCAATGGGACGAGGAGATTTGGATGAATATTAATCATTGTCTCTACAGTCTTTATGTAAGTGACATCTGATTTCATATAATTAGAATATGAAGGAATAAAAGCGTGATAAAAGACATAAAAGACAACAAAATGTGAAATAATTTAGGTTGTCTATGAAATTCGTTGAGCGATCTGTCCATTATTTGGTCACTAAGCAGTCTTTAAAGTCGGCCTTACTTGTACTGGTGGTCTCCAGTGAGGGCACGAAGTAGTCATCACAGACGATGGCGATGGCAGAAAACATGTACACGACCACTAAAACATGCAGCAGGACCCCTCCGTTCCTGATGATAGATAATGAATGGGTTATTACATATAAATCACTGAATTGCTGATTTAGTACAATACTATCTCACTCAAAACTTGATCTAAAATAAAACATGCACATTTGGTATCATCAATAAACACTTATCAAACATTCGTAAGATCTAAGTTGAATACCTTAATAGGAAATTATAGCCGCGATAATTCAAAAGCTTGGTACATGCATGTACCATCACGGAATAAAACTTCTAGACTAATCATCAAAGGCACCTTACACGTCTTTCCTCACTTATCTCAAGTGAAAATGAGTATTTTCTTGTCCTGTATTCGTCCTCTGCGTTGGTGGTGGCATAAAATAATTTGAATGTGTGGTCACCATGTCTAGTCATGATGATGATGAGTCATGAAATGTTGGAATATACAACAAAGAACTGTCACATCACTAGTTTTATCTTTCCTAAACCTCATCTGTATATATATTTCTTTTCTTGGTACAATTTTTTTATGTATTATAGTGTATATGAGGGTGTGTATATATTGTTTGCCTTGCCTATTGTAACTTTTTTTTCTGTACGCAAACTCTTCCAATTCAGGGATTCTCATCCCTGCTGCAAGGTTTGCTTTTTGGTGTTGAAATGAATAAATAATAAAAATATATAAAAAAAGCTCACCTGCGGACGGAAGCCGGCATGGGATCAGGCGGGAACTGTAGGATGGAGGCCAGGGTGCAGTTGGGGACCTCCCCGTCCAGGTACCGCAGGTCGGGCTCCCCCGTGGAGTGAATGTGATCGTCCACGAACTGCAGCAGGCTCCGGGACGGCGATGTCTGGTCGTGTCCGGCGTGAGCGAGATTTGTGCCTGTTGGTCAACACCATGGGCATGTACGTGTTAGGTAAGGAGAGGACCCACAAAAAATACAAGCAGCAAAAAAAACTGTTTTGTCGTGTCCGATTTGGGCGATGTTCTTACCTGTTTGTCAAAATCATAGGCAGGGTTAGGGTTAGTTTAGGTTAGAGTGAGTTTTGTATGTGTGAGGTAAATGATTTCATCAGTTTGATGAATGAGAGAATAACAAAGTTCTTTATTCACAGCTACTTGTTTACAAGAGTCTAAAAGTACAATAGTGGGCTCCCATCTCTTGTGATTGTGCAAGGGACGGTTTGAAGTAAAAAAAACATTTCGCCTCCCACCATGATGAACTCCACCTCTGTCCCACCCCGAAGTGAATTGTTTCCCCCGTATTGATTATTTGCACTGAATGGGTGTGAGAAATCGCTTGGGTCATTGTTGCGATATGTGTTGTCTTCTAAAACATACTTTTGAATTGGGGCCTAACTAAGTTAGTTGTGAGGCTAGCCTAGGAGATGGTGGTGACAAATGTTAGTGTTGAATTCTTGTGATTTGTAACAAAAGCTATTGCTTTAGAAGGACTTACTTAGAGTCTGGTATTTGGACAGTATAATTATGTGAGCAAAGAAACAAAAGAAAAACTTGTGGTACGCTGAATTTGGTCATTGCCTTCTCTCGCGATGGTAAAAGAGGCAGTTTGAAGTAAAAAACATTTCGCCTCCCACCATGATGAACTCCACCTCTGTCCCACCCCGAAGTGAATTGTTTCCCCTGTATATTGATTCTTCGCGCTGCAGAGAAATTGCAGTTCTGACAGGCAGCTTGTGTTTACTATGATAGATCTGCAGATCCAATCTACTGTCGCCTCCGCGGGCCCATCAACATTACACGTGTTGGGCTCATTTCTGTTATTGGGGGTGAGAAATCGCTTGGGTGTCATTTTTGCGATGTGTGTGTGTTTGCGGCACAAATTGTCTTTTTAGGGATCGCTCATATACAAGACATTTCAAGAGACCTGATGCCCAACGGTGATTTGAATGCATCTTTAGATGTGACAACTCTCACAAGGCAAAAATAGGCAACTATATGCACGACTCCTTTTTAATTAGAAAAGACACTAAAAGGTACAGAAAACAGCTAATCCTATTCCGAATCACGGACATTTAGATAGATTGTGTAGATAAAGTGTTTGCAAATTTCAGCGCAAAAGCAACGTTTATTCAAAACCCCCTTTCCATGCGACCACTGGGCAACTAAAATTATTTGACATATTTGGAATGTCATAGACACAGAACGACTTCTTTGTGTGTCTTGTTGTCTTTTAAATCATACTTTTGCATCGTGCATCATGTTTCAAATATAAAATCATGGATCGCAGAACGTTGGCCACTCAACTGCTGTCTACATAATGTTGCTAGTGTGAAGGGGGGGGGGGTATACAAAATAGGAAGAACTTTATTACACGACAATGTGGAAACGGTTCTAGAGACAACAGGGCCATCGCGGCGTCCCAGCCCCGGTGCCTGTCCACTTATCCCTGATGCCGGGTCCCCTTGGAAAGCAGCTATTGCAAGCTATGATCAGGCACGGTTCTGGATGATCTACGCGTATCCAGAACCGTTCCTTGAGCAAATGTATGTTCTTGGATACGCGGAGACCATCCAGAACCGTGCCTGATCCTAACCCTAACCCATTCATCATAAGAACTAAGCATATGATATAGACTATCCAGAACTGTGCCTGATCCTAATCCTAATCCATTCAAGCATAGAAATAGATAGGCACAGTTCTGAGTACAAATTACAATAGTGACAATCCAGAACTGTGCCTGATCCTAAAACCCTAACCCATTCAGGCATAGAACTAGATAGGCACGGTTCTGGATGCAATAGAGACTATCCAGAACCGTGCCTGATCCTAAAACCCTGACCCATTCGGGCACAGAACTAGATAGGCACAGTTCTGGATATGATAGAGACTATCCAGAACCGTGCCTGATCCTAACCCTAACCCATTCAGCATAAGGACTTTTACAATCAAGTATAATACTCATTGCAATACAGTAATAAGAGACAGGTAACAACTGTCTGGAAAAAACTTCTACTTCTTCTACTACGCTGGCTATTATGGGGTTCGACTTCTTCTTTTAAGGCAATATGAATAGTCCCACATCCTGCATAATTGGGTTTTGTGATCTTAGTGGAAATGCAGTTTCTTGGTGATCTTCTAAATGACGAAAGGTTGGAGAAATTGCTGTAACTGTCTGAAATAATCTATTTCTTTCGGTCTCATAGTTAGGACACTGGCTAACAATATATAGGCACAGTTCTGGATGCAATAACCCGGTGCTTGTCCACTTATCCCTGATTGGTTCTGGCGGATCGATACCGGCGGTGATGTTCCTGTTTGTTTCCGCCGATTTACAACCAAGGTCACGGCAATGACGTCAAGTGCTGACCCGCCATGATGGCAGGTCCCGGAAGACCTATCGGATTACCCAGCGGAAATTGGATCCGATATTCAAATGTATCAATAACAACTGTTTCCTTTGGAGGATTGTTTTCTGCACCAAGAAAAAAGATACTCAAGGATTGTTTTCTTCTATTCTGAATGGAATTGGTTTGGATCCGTTATCTAATCTATCACAAATCATATAAATAGATATTCTTGTTCAATACAAGTAAGTTAATAAAACATTTTCCACCTAAAGCGCGATAATATAAATTGTAGTTACATTGCTATTTTTACGTTTCATTTTAGCAACCATTTCGTGTGGATTATTCCAGGAGGGGTTCTTTTCTTCTATCACTTTATTTGCTGTACTCCAGAAGACATTTGACAAGGAAATGGATGAATTATCTTTTCAAGATATATCTAGATGCTTGAGTGCCAGTTTTCTTGACAATCGCATTACCTGGAAAACCTTCAGCGGACGTACTTAATGTTGGTTCTTGTTATCATCTCTATCAAAGGGAATACAAATAGATTTGATTATTTATCACATTCATTTAGTCCAGAAAACTATTTACCCTAAAAACGCAATTAACCTAGATTTTAGTTATATTGCCATTTGATGTTTTATTCTATTACATTACATCCTTTTGCTATATATAACAAAGATGCAACAGAAAGATGCTTCTTTTGGTGAAAAAAGGAGATGAAGTGTTTTTATAATAATTATAATGAATAATAATAATAATAAATGTTTTTTATTGGCCAAACAGTATCCGTGCAGTCGCAGCCTTTATACGGCTGAATTGATGCTGGGTATCACATAATAGTCAATACAAATCACAACAATCTAATAATACACATGATACACATATTTGCTCCACAAATTTTGTGGAACTGTCGCAAGGGTTTTTATCTAATTTTTTTTTCACTAAAAGAATATTCAGTCCTCCTCCGTCCCTTCCGTGTGATTTCCATTTCTCCGCATTGTTTTACGTCGCCAGTGGTCGGCCGGATTTAATCAAATTTTATGGCAATCACAGAGCTTTCAAATTAGATAACCCGTGATGACGCAAACCCTGCCAAAACCGGTTATGTCCGGGACGGGAAGAGAATTCATTTTAGGACGAACCCATAGAGGTAGAAAAAGCTTCTAACAGTATGTTGGAAACGACGGTTTTCCAGAGGATTTAGAGGTTTAAATCCATGTGTCTAAGATTTCTATTTAAAACATTTATAAGAAAATCTTATGTTTTATGGAAAATTTCAGACACACATACCATCGAAGATACATTATGCCAAGTACAATGTATTGAAGGTGAAGTAAGCTTAGTTTTCTAGATTCGCCTTCTTGACTCAATCTATCTTGGAAAGTTTTGCAGACACGTTTTCTACAAAAGCGCTTGACATTTCATCGCATTTATCTATTGGAAGTAGCTACGGAGAAATTACATGTAAGAACTAGAAAGGCCAATATTTGCTTTGGAGCAAATACAGCGATGGGTTCACCACATTTTACGACATGGCAGGGAAAGAATGAGAAACACAAGGGAAAACAATGATTTACATTGATATAACTATAATATGAAGCAACATACAACTAAAACAACAGTTGGATAGCTATTCCCTACTTTATTGGTTAGGATTTTTAATTGCATAATGCAAACTGTTGATTTTCAAAAAAAACGTTACATGCCCCGCATTCCAATGCTGGAGCAGAAAAGCTTGAAATACCAACCAAAACACTTGAATAAAGACATACTGTCAGTATGGAAATGCTCTGTGCAGGTGTTAATCAAGTTAAATCCCAACAGCCAATCAGCAAGAAATGCTCTGTGCAGGTGGAAATGCTCTGTGCAGGTGTTAATCAAGTTAAATCCCAACAGCCAATCAGCAAGAAGTATAGAGGAAAGCTGCATGCCTATTGGTTGATGCCCTGCATTCCATTGTGATGACTCATGCCCAGACGTGGTAAACACGGCACACTAACACAGTAATACATTTGCTATAACACAGCCAAAAAACTCAAATAAAACCATTCTAAAAGCCTGTATCACAAAAATTTAAAAAACGCCTAGGGGTATTTGCCCACTGTACCTCCATACCAAATTTCAGGACCTTAGGCCCTA